CTGAATACTGAATAGGTTGCGCTTACATTCTCGATGAGAACACTGTCACCGGAAGGGATATTGCGGGTCTGTCGATACTCATCCGTTATGTCTCGTTGAAGATGTGTGGACAGTTGATTGAGAGTTCAGGTAGAGTGTGGAGGAGGTTGGTCAGGTTGGTAGAGGATTTGAAGGTTGGACAACAGTCGGGCAAGTCTGGGGGGCCGCCAGCAACTGTGGCTACCCTGCTACCTAGTAGTAGTGTCTGCCCTTTGATTCGTTCCTCAATCGCGTTTTTTTACGGGCCATGGGCAAGGGGTGAACCAGCCAGCCCCAGTCTAGGGTGTCGTTGCTGCACGACAGCTGCGACCCACAAAACACGAAAGCTCGATCTTTCTCCACTCCATCGCTCACCTTGACCCTCTTTGTTGTTTATTGGTTCGATTGGATCGGGCAATTTATTCTTCCGCTGTCTGTCGCTTCTTCTAGCTGTAGAGCTCTAGACAAGAACCTTGTTAATCCACACCGGAACCACTTGAACCAGAACACAATATCCTTTAAATGCACACCTTGGTTGACCATTGAACCAGAGGGATATGGGGAAGTACATATATATCCATCAGCATCAGGTATTAGCACAGGCTTGTCACGCCACTAATGCAGCCCGTTTACGCAAAGGAGTGGGATTGAAAAGACGGTATGAACGACAGGTAGATCACGATCTAGAGCATTCCCCCTCCATATAATATGAGTGATTATAATCGCTACCCGCCAGCTCAGAGTGCCGAGGGAGAGGGGGAGGGGAAAGCGACAATGTTGGGAATAGCTTCAAATTTAAGTTTTTTTTTTTTGGAGTTTGAGATGCCTCGCAGGCAAAAACGTTTATTGAACAAGGCAAATACTAAGTTATTAGTATCATCATACCTTAGGTAAGGTGTTCAATCACCCTTCCCTCCATATCTTTATATGTGGGTATGTAGGTAGGCTATTCATCATAACCCCTTTTTCGACGTAAGGCACCTTCCTCCCTTACACGCCTTCTACCTGTTTTATATCACTAGGTACCTACCTGTCTTGTGTATAATTCAACTTCGACTAATTGAGCAAGCACGTGAAATATTTATCAATTGCCTGGCAAACCATCGCTTGGCCCATCAAAACATTGTTCGCCTACAAACTCCATTGACTCATACCAGAAGTTTTGGCTGGCATACTTCTTTGGCCTCCATTTTTGTTATGGCCGACTTTACTATATTGTCATCTTCGTCTCTTCATTAAATATTATTAAAGGGGTTAAGCCCAGATTACTTCTTGGCAGAACTTTTTGCAGCTATTTGCCGTTGCTCAGCACCCTCGCACATTCATTCAATAAACTCTCATCCGCAGCGAACTGACATAACATCAACACCAAACTTAAACACATATAACCATCATTCTTAATTCAGTATGGCGTTGCATATCGCACATCAACTCGCAGACGGCCAGGCGCAGCAGCCCGTCGGAGAACTACAGCTTCGCCCTTTAGGCAATCTGTCGTCGCGATATTCGGGTCACTTTCCCAAACCACAACCACCGCGTTTTAGGCCTACCTGCACTCACATAACCATGACTCGATTATACGATGCTGATCTTGTGTGCTTGCTGTGCCATCAGCCGGGCCAGTAGGGATGGCTTTGGCGATGCACCGCTGACCGAGACATTCTAATCGAAGATGCGATGGAGAAGGGTCGCCAAGTAATAACCCCCCTTTTGTATCCCGATCGCTTCAATACAAGATATAGTTTGGTAGCTAACTAAGTCTTAAATAGGTGGCATTCGATATCATTGGCTCTCACTTTGCCGATAACATCCAGGTTCGACCTCGAGGTCCTCAGAGCAGGTCAGACGTCAGAGATAGTTTCCTTAGTGAAAACACCGAGGAACAGCTTGGCGCGTATACGGCGTCACAGATCGAGGTTATCCTGGCCCAGAGACAAAACGTCTGTTCTTCGTATCTACGGAAAATACTATTGTGCGCGCTAACGTTCGAGATAGGTGCATGACAAAGCTACTTCAGCGTCATCAGCTACCGAGCCCCCGCCTGGTTTTGAAGGTATAAAGGCCACGAAACCTTGGGTTCCTTCCGCAGGTGAGGAATGCCAATTCAGGTGTTGTCAACGGTGCCGTCCTTCTGCCGAGCCCAGAAGTTACATGAGCATGGATGGAATCGCAAATGGCGACATACCGCCCAATGCTGCTGTTGCTTTCGACTTCCATCGTGTTGGAAGACGGATGATCCATCCGAAAAGATTGGAGAATATTGGGTGGAGAGCTGTCCCTTGGGTATGATAGCCTTGCTCCCCTTCGTCTCTTCGTAGTACTAACTTCTACGCCAGCCGCGAGCCTTCGCTCCTACGCCCGCATCGACGATATCCTCACTAACATGGACGTCGGGCTCGACACTCTTTGGTGAGCAATACTACGATGCAAGACACACCCAATTGCCCGAATCGTCCCAAGCTTCATCTTCAAAAGACCGTGCGATCGACGACATAGACGAGCATGAGCAGTCCGAGTTAGACGACGCGTTGCCGTCACTCGAGTCTCTCCATATTCGTTTAGCCAAGGTAAAAATCAGCCATATTCTTCTCTCAGCACAACTCACTCCTCTCCCGCCTTGTACGCCGGAGGAAGAGGCAGCTCTCCGAGAACACCCCACGAAGATGATGGAAGAAGAAATGGAGGAAGGACGATTCCACCGCGAGCCTCTGGAAGTCGACCACGGCGTAGCTATTCTGGAAGAGAGTGTCAGCTTCGGGGTACCTGATGTTATCACCCATACATACATAGGAACAACATCGGATTAGGGGTAGTGATACGTTTTGGTATGGCTTGGACGGCCGTTGTAGCCACTATCGATGAACCTTCCTGGCCTGGATCACGGAAACTTGGTATTAATGTCAGGTGGGCAGGTTTGGTCTGACGCCCAGCTTTCTTTGCAGTTGGTTCGTTTCTTTGAGAAGCCAAGGATACTAGGTAGTGGTTATGAAACCATCGCGCTCAACTTGTTACTACTAATATTAGCTACTCACCTTTTTCAGTTTCGCATTTCTTTTCTTTTCAATTCCAAGTACTCAGGGGTGATAATGGAGTCTGGAATGCACGTGATGATGTAAAATACTGTCTATACTCACCAACCAATCAGAAATTCTATTTGTCTTTAACTCGATTTTTAGTCTCGCTGCATGACGACGATTTCTCCTCGTCACACATTTTTGGGTCTAGATCTAAGAATGAAGTTATGAAGCTGCGATGAATATTTCCCGATTGGTCCGGAACAGCATGACCACAAGCTGCCCCAGACACATGCGATCGTACTCCGGAAGCGCCAAGCAGGTCCCGGCAACATGGCTGCAGCGGATCCTGAACGACAACTCCGAGCCGCCGAGGCTCTACGCCTGGACGCTGGCAAACCTGCCACCATCACCACCACCACCCAACGGCACGCAAAATCAGCACGCCGATGCGTCGTCGTCGTTGGGGGTAAACAGTGAGTTCAGAAAAGATGCCGAGCAGCAGCAGCAGCAGCACCGCATCTACATCCTAGGCATCGGCAACATGGGCCGGCTCTACGCCAGCCTGCTCGCCAAGACTACGACCACCAATCCCCGACCGCCGCCCATCACCCTCGTCGTGCACCGCCGCGAGCTCCTGGAGCACTGGAGAGCGCGGCCGGGCATCGAGCTCGCGCGCGACGGCACGGCCGAGTGGAACGCGGACTTTGATATCGAGTGGTGGACGGACGCCAAGCCGGCGCATGGGCCGGTTCGGGAACCCGGTGGTGCTGGTGAGAGTGAGGGTGGGAGTGGTGGGAGTATCAAGAACCTCATCGTGTCCACCAAGGCCGCCGATGCCCTGCCCCAGGTCGATCGGCTGAGAAGGTATCTGGGCGGGGAGTCTACGGTCGCGTTCACGCAGAACGGCATGTGCAAGCTCTGGCCGCCCCTGGGCGCCGCGTATGCGGAGAAGAGGTTTCTTGCGGGAGGGGTGCCGAGATGGCTGGTCTGCGTGACGACACATGGCGTCACGTCGTCGGGCGCGTTTCGCAGCGTGCTGGCTTCGCCGGCGAATGTGCTTGTTGGGAGTGTTGAGGCTGCGACGCCGGCTTCGGATAGGGGTGGGGACTTCCTCGCCGAAGCGATCGTTGCTGCGCCGGGGCTGGCCGCGACTCGGGTCTCGACGCGAGAGCTCTGGGTCGCGCAGCTGGAGAAGCTGGTTGTGAATTCGGTTATCAATCCCTTGACCGCGGTGCTGCGGTGCAGAAATGGCGAGTTGTTTACTGAGAGGGATGGGGATTGGCTGCCTGATGTGATTGATTTGCTTGTTGAGGAGGCGAGTGGGACTTTGAGGGCGCTGGTTGGGCATTCTAGTAGTGAAGGGGTCCTTCTGGGAGAGGGGGATAAGGATGAAGGTTCGACACAGAGACTTCAAGCCGTTCGGGAGGAGTTGCTCCAGAGGTTCTCGTTCCCGCGACTTAGAGCAATGTTATATGGTGTCGGTGCGAAGGTGGCGGAGAACACAAGCTCCATGCTTCAGGATGTCAGGGCGGGCAAGAAAACGGAGATAGAAGACTTCAATGGCTGGCTTGTCGAGACTGCTGCTCTGGTTGGCCACGATGGAGGCTTGCCGGCGCACGAGAAGTTGATGGCTTTGGTTATAGATGGGGTCACTCTCACGAGAGCCGAGTTGAGTACACAGTTTCTCAATGACATGTAAACTGACTATCTATTTAGGCGCTTAGACATACAATATCCTTTATAGACATGCAACTTGCTTGATAGGTAGCTTCGCTTACAGTGACTTACAAGCATCGCCAAGAAACAAGATCAACCGAAAGCGCCTCATACGATCGATATGGCACGTTTGGGTAAGGCTGCAGGTTATCAGTAATCGTCGTAGGCCGTAGGTTGCAGAGGCGCTGTAGAAATCCACTTCACACAGATATAATTACTGTGATAGTGTCGTAGCCAACCAATGAACTAGCCCGACTAGCTCACCGGTAGAGCGCCTCACTAGTATGGTCTCGACCTCACGAGATCCCCTCTCGCAATGAGGAGGCAACAGGTTCGACTCCTGTGTTGGGCATTTCTTTTGGACCTTTTCTTCTTTTTTGATGAAGAAGTTGAGTGTAACCGATTTTTGGCGTCTTTTGGAGCTTTCAGAAGGCTGTCTGACTTTTCCACCCGCCATAGTCTACTTCCCGCACGTCTAAAAATGATGACATTGGAGACTAAGTTATGTAGGTAGGTAGGTATGATCAAACCGAGAATTTGTATAGTGTCTTATAGGATGCTGGCTGTGTCGATAGCGTTCAAGTTTTTGGAGATGAGCCCTTTCCGTGGCGCCGCATTGCTCACAAAGGAAATATGCAGTCACTATAACCGACACAGATGTAATGTTGGACCAACTACGATAAATAGCAGCTAGAAATATTAGTTTGAAGTCGGGTGGTAGGCAAGGTGGTTTATAAAGGCATTGGTTCTCGACTAAAGGGTCCGGTCCGTGTTCCCCCTTTACTATTAAGGGCTTTTTTGCTTCGAGTACCGTCTTATTTATCCTTTTGACATTTGGTAGGCACGGCAGCTATATCAATCAGACTCTTTGGATGTATCCCTTACTTAAACGGATCGTTAATCTGAGCTCATACTTGACTGTCATGGTCCAATAAGGCAATCAATCAGTTCGCTACCGTCTCACACAATCAATCTTTACGGCCGTTTCTTGTTTTATAAGCACTCGACTTTAGCCCCTTTTCTACATCTCTTCTTTTCTGTTGATTTGGTATAACTGTATTGTCGAAGACATGACGTTGCTACCTGTTTACCTTTTGTGGATATATGATAAGATAGAATGGTCTTCGGTTCTGATGGTCCTTTTACATTGGTTCGGTCTGTGCCGTGTGGTCCTCGTAGAAAATGTCTCAATAGGCATGGTGTTGTGGCAGTCTATGAATGGGCTTCTTATCCCTAGATTAGAAAGTGGCATGGAATCGATTCAAGTACCAGACTACACGGAATTCACGTACTATATTACATCGGTTATGATATTACTACCACTTACCAAAGATATTTTCCAAGAGACGGTGTATGGAAACGCGTATGATTCCTTCGACTAGGGTAAGAATAAAATCTTCAGTAGACAAGGCTTCCAGCGCTGCCAGCTTGGATGCCATTCAAACGAAATTGATCGATTTGATGGGGCTACTCTAATGGTTTAAGACTGGATAGAAGATTCCAAACACTTTCTAGTATGTCATCAATTGCTCTCCCTATCGTACCTCGGTGCTATCGGCCAGTTTCAGCATGCCAGAATGGAGGGTTGGCTGACTGACAACACGACAAGGGTCATAGTATCCTCACCGCAATGATGAATGTACCTGCGGAACTAACAAAGGTACGTAATGCGCTCTACTGCATCTGCCAGCATCAACCCCATTCTCGATACAGCTGACCTTTTTGACTCGCTGACAATCTTCTCATTGCCTGTAGAGTAACCAAACAGCCAGAGAGCCAAGGTTCGCAGGGGGTTTTTCGTGGGACCGGCTGAGTTGTCCGGCTGCAGGCTGCTCGATATTACCTGCTTACCTAGGTACCATGCCTGATGGCGAGGTTTGCCAGTTCATTAATACGAGAACAATATTGATGTTCGACGACAGGGTTAATGAATCTGTTTAACTGTCCTTACCTATCATTACCACCCCACACTTCTGTCATCTGGAGTGGCGTTCAGCCTGTCGCCTAGTATTTGTTTGTCTAGGACTGACTGTTCAAGAGCCAAGGTACCGAGTACGAGCACATCTTGACAGCTGTTAGCGAACCCTGCGCTTGTCTGACCTACCATACCTACCACACTCGGTCGTTGGGCGTCAAGAGATGAAACAACCTCAGCGGCCTGAATGAGCACTAATGCAATAGCTGGTCCATACGGCTGACTTCATCGCGACCTCATGGTGCTCATTTTGGAGTCGTTATGAGGGAATGCGAGAGGCTTGGATAGATGCGTACGCATACAATGCTTGCGTCTATCGCCAGTTTCAATAGACCGGTTGGATGCGTTTGCGCCACGAAACCGCATTGCTTCGAACACTCTCTAGAGCACGTGTATGCGGATACGGCTCGAGCGGCCAGAGGACACTATCCCCATATATCCGAGCTGACGTTCCATGGCCTCGGGAGCATCCCCAGGTCCCAGGTCCATCGATCGTGAGCTGTCATCCTTTTGGAGAAAAGGAGCCCAGCCCACTAAGCGAGAAAAGCTTGGACGACGGCATGCCCGTATCTCACGGTCCTTTCTGAAGGATTCGAGACCCCCTCCCCTCTAGCGTGAGAAATTAATTCTCGCTATTAGGTACGGGTACGGTACCTGGTCGAGGAGAACAACAACCTCGAACCACTTTGACTTCGGTTTCGGGAAACTAGGTACAGTACAGTATCTACATACAGTAGATTAGTTAGATGAGTATCAATTCATGGATATGACCGAGATTGTTCTTCCATGCGCTTGTTGGCTTAGTATCGACAGACTAATTTAAGTCGCGCAGGTCATTCTAATGCAAAAAATGATTGCGGCTGCGCGGTCTTTTTTACATGGATTGAAGGTGGACTCGGAATCCAAGCGACCAGACCCGGAAAGCCTTATTTCTTTTTGGTTATCTTCTCTCTTCACGATAATACGGAGAAAAAAAGAACCAGATCCGACGGTAACAACGATATTGGGGACTTGCATACGACGATGCCGAGCGGAAATCTCCGATTGGTCGCGCCAAATCGGATCGGAAATGCAATCAACGTTCTTGCTTGCTTGCTTGATCCTTCGCGCGAAGAGAAAACGCGTTTTTCAAGTCTGGGAAGCGGGAGTTTATCGAATTGGCGAAGAACTGTGAAATAGCTGTTCCTGCACCGAAGGCCGGCCAGCCGACGTTTCACTGGGTGTCACGAGCCAATCGCGAGATAAAATGAGCTTTCTTCAGATGAGGAGATTTGCTTTCAGCCTCAACTCGCTTCGGTGTTTGTTGTGTGCAGCAACTCCGGGTAAGAAACCGAAGGGAGGGACAGACTGATCGAATTTCTCAATGCCGCGCTCTCCGTAAGCTTAGATAACAACTCCCTTATAAATACTGATGTCCTTGGAAATTGAGAGCGCCACTTTGGTGATCAGACAGCACGGTCCATCGAACACGCAATGCGCATAAAATACCTACTAGTCTAGAGGGCTAGAGAAAACGCCCGGGGCGCCTTTTTGGGGGGGAAGGGGGCTCGGTCTTAAAGAATCCCGCCGATCATGGGGAACGAACTTGATTTCAACCTTTCAAACTCGCAAACTGGTTGTTGAACGGGAGCTAGCATAATAGCAAGGTGGGAAAAAACATAAAAGAGGCCAAGGGGTTTTCCCGCGTTCCGCTATTCGACATGATAGATAGATATTAGATCCGGATCGATCGGAATCTTGATTCGCGGCGCCACCAAATCGTTTCTGTCATATTTTCCCCCCTGGACGAAAAAAAGAGAGAGATCCATCCGAGTCCGAGCTTTCTTATTTTGCAACGCTAATCTAACTAGGTATGTAGATTATTATGCTAACTGTTTGCGTGTGAACGAGCACGACGTCCAAGGTGACAATGATCAAGATGACAAACAACTAGAAGTGTTGCATAGTGCATTGCCGAGGGCTGGCTGGACCTGGCCATCATCCATGTCTACGCACTGCAGAGAGACAGATACTTATGTGTGCTTTCGTGCAGTACATATCAACACAGTACCAATGTGCGAATATGCGGTTTTTCTTACGGGCTGCAGCTCAAAAGAACGTACATACAGGACAGGGACCCCCCCCCCCCCCCTCACTCGCTGTAAGGCCGGCGGCAGTTGAAACAAGATCCCACACCGCTGGAATATCTACCTAGGTCTTGCTTTGACTGTGCATAACTTAAACCACGTCAGCATTTTCGCTTGCTTTTTCAGCGAAACAGCGGCAACGGTAACGGCAACGGCATCGGTGCGGTGCGATGCGGCACGGTACGGTACGCAACGGGTAAATCAAACCCAGCTCAATCTAAACAACCTGCTGAACACACGGCGTTGAAGATCAATCTTTGCAACCATGATTTCGTAGATGTCCATCTACCTATCTATCCCTAGACCCTACGTGTTTACAGGGTTGGTTCTATCGATCGGGGGTCTCTTTTTCGGTCCGTCCGGATTCCATGTGAACAACTACCGACCGCATGGCCGACGACAAGCTGCATACCGACATACCTACATACGGCTCGACAATGCAAAAATCATTCACCGAGTTTCATCTCATCTTGGTTTTACTTCTTCATTGGCCTATATAGGAATTTTCGAATGAGATTAGTTACTAAACCCATCTTTTGCAAATCGTTAGAGCATGGTACACCTTTTACCCTCCGAGATGATCTCCTCGGGTTTTGGTTATTTATCCTAAATGAGTACTACTAAAGTCATGACTACTAGAAACTCTGTGTATAGATTTCGTAGCAATTTGGTAGACCGCTTATGTGTTAATCCGAGGCGAGCATTGATACGCGGTCTGAGATGCTGTGCTCATTTCCTAGGCATAATAGCGCATGAACGAATAAGAAAACGTGGTATTGTATCCTTGCCTAACGTACATACAGCATACACATACATACATGCGTACAGATCAGTTATAACGCCATATGTATGCAAAGGCAAGCAGCAAGTACCGCCGTTTAGCCTTCTCACCGCAAGACCACAGCTTGCCTCGCAGCCGCAGCAGCAGAAATCTTGCAGAAAAAAAGAGGGAAGAGACTTGTCAGCACATGACTAGGTAGCCTGCCCTGATTCCCCTGCCGGAAGTCTGCATCAGGGTACTCCGGCCGAGTCTAAGATAATCCAGAGTTGAGGCTAAGGCACGACAGCCTGTTCGATGACAGCGGAACGATATATTGCCGTAGTATCGAAGTAGCATCGTCTAGGAGAGAAAGGGAGCTAAACAAAAGCAGAGCGAGCTAGAAAAGAAAAGAGTAAGCGTGAGATCGAATGGCGTCTCATCGGTATGTCATTCCGCGATGGCGTGTGCGTGTGTGCGTGCGGTGTATGTAT